TGATGGGAACATTTTTCAGTTAATTATAGTATCTGATTCTTTACATTCTCCAAAATTGTTATTCTTTCACCGCTTTCATTCTTACTGCTGATTAAAATTATAATCTTGTTATGTGCTGGGTCTGAACCAATTCATAGCTGTCTTTCAGTAGATTTTCAAGGCTGTAAATCACAGAGGAAATTGCCCACCTTTCTCCTTCAGAGCTGCTGGTAAATACGAAGTTTATGCTTCTGGGTTGGCGACACCAACTTCTTACCTTTTAGGCCAGTGGCACCTACTAATCATTTCTTTGTTTAAAGGGAAAGAAATGTACTCTTAAAAGCATGTTGTTATTGTTGTTGATTGCCGTCGAGGCGAGTACAACTCATAGCGACCCTATGAACAAAAGACCTGAAGCCTTTCTAAAACTCCCACCGTTTTTCAAAGTTCATAAAGTTTCTAGAGACATGTTGTTTAGGGTTAGTGGATGCCACTCCTGCTTCCAAACTTGTTTTAAACTGGGAGCTCCACCAAAGGGTATCTGTCCACCGTGGGTATCTGTTATGGCCTTTGACACCCCAATCAATGCCACAAGGTTCAGCATTACAGCACTCAGGTTACCTCAGTACAGCAAAATGATAGAATAGTGCTGTACCACTTAGAAGAATGTTTCTCCAAAATAAAATAACAACCAAATTTTAAATACAAAGGCCCCCCCATAAGACCTTGTTGACTGTAAACAAGAGGCTTAAATAAAAAACAACCAATGTGATATGTTAAGCCTCCTTTTTACCTACAATAAGGGTGGTTAGGCATTCAAAGGATATTGCAGACAAAATACTATATTAAATTCTTTTATAAATTCATATATATGACATTTTTTCTTAGTCATTTGTCTGCAAGTTTAAACTGCTTAATCCTTGAGTGGTGGTATTTTGGGGGTTTTTTCTATCATGCTGTTGAAATTACATTTGATATTAGATTAAGATCAATAAACTAATAGAGATTATGCAATGTATCACTTGAATTACATAATTAGGCATCAGTTTCACTTTAGATAGGCTTTACCTTGCAACGTTCAAATAAACTTATAATTGGATTACTGTTTTCATAACTTTCATTGAATCTAGTTAACTATTGCTAGACTATTTGAAGGGAGTTGCTGCCATTAAATTGATTCTGTCTCTGTCCAACAACTCACAGTGACCTAATAGGACTGTTCTGTACAGTTTGCAAGGCTGTATATTTAAACAGAAGCAGATTGCCACATTTTTCTCCACAAGAGCAGCTAAATTTTGTTACTATAAAGTCACTGCTTTCTTGTGTGAAATTTAAATCAAGATCAAATCAGTCCACAGCATAATACATAGTCTCATTACCACATCTTATTTTTTTACATAATGAACATGTTTATAAATCTCTGGATTGACTCAGTGAGTGGGGTAGTTAATAGGGGTAGGTGTGTTGGAGACAATGAAATTGGCTGAAGATAGAGCAGGGCTCAGAGCTGTTGTATGTAGGGTCACTAGGACTCACAAGTGACTCAACCTCACATAACATCTTTCAGTAGTGGTCTGTCCTATAGTCAAATCTTATAAATTTGTTTGTTTCCATTTTTAAATTATTTTAAAACTTCAACATGTTTTTACCAAAATATCTATGGTTCTTATTTTTGTCAAGTCTGAAGCTGACTGTCCAGTGGATTTTCAGAGGCTGTACATCACAGGAAGAAGCTGTCCATCTTCTGTGAAACAGCTGGTTGATATAGAGTAGATAAAAATATTGCCTTAGATTTGGAAGAATCTGCTGAAATGAAACTTTTGCCTTACCTTACATTGGACAGACTATGTAGTTTTGAGGAGTTGAAAGTCTGAGGCCAAATAGATCAGTAGACGGCAGGTGCAATAGTCAGGTTAGGACAGAAAACATTATAGGAAAATAAAATTAGGAGTTAAGAGCATCTGTGTAATAGATATTTTAGCTTTAGAGTATGCTTATTTATAAACCTAGACATTTCTATATTTCTATACCCTAAAACTTGTAGTCTGAAAAATTAAACCCATCATACTTAACTTTCAAATGTTCTTTGCCTCTACTGAACAATAATGCTTAGCGCATCTTGTTATCTGTACATTTCTGCTCCCACTTTGACATATCCAATGACATCTTACTTTCTCTAGCCACTCAGTGTCTGCCTAAATCATGGTGAATCTGGCCTGAAGACAGGAAACTTTAATAGTCACAATTTTTCTCTTCTCATAATTAGGAAATGCTTATAGCAGTGTGTTGTTTCACCTTCAGTATCACTTTTCATTCTAATTTTTTAAAAAAGCAATCTTTTTTCCTTTTTTTAATTAATTTCAATGAAAGTTTACAGAGACTTTGCATTTCCATTCATTCATTGCTGCACTTTTCTCTCTGCCCACTCCTCCCCGCAAGTTCACTCTTCTCTTTGAAAAGTAGAAAAAAAATTCTTTGTTGTACAACCCCCCCCACCCCCCCGTCCATTCCACTGTTTAGCTTTCATTCTGGACTCCTGTCATGACAGTAATACCTAATATAAGCAGTTCTCACCGTCATCTGTTTCAATGCAGTGTCACCCTTGCATAGGGGCCATGCTAATTTTCTCTGTATCGTTCCAATTTTAGTGTATGTGCTCCCAAAGCAAGCACTAAAATCCACTTTAAAAATTCACATAAAAATTTAAGATGTAACTTATATTTAAATATGATCAAAATAATGCACATCAAAGTTTTGATTTATCCTAGAAGTCACTATTTATGAAGATAGAAAATGCTACTTTTGAACAGGGTTCTAGTGAACTATAAAAATTCTTGAAAGTGTAATTTAAATTAAATTTTTAAATCTTAAGACAATTGTCTAACATAAAAGTATGCTGATAGTCTTCCAGGAAGGAAATTACAAAAAACCCTTTATCTTAGTTTTGTGATACAGTGAAGTGATTATAGGATTTTTGGGGGGTGAGGAGGAATACATAAATACATACATACATAGGTGATTTTTTTTTTGGTTACTAAATTCATTTAAGTAATGGTTAATAGTTTGTCATCATCCATAAAATGAGGTAATAGAGCAAAAATACTGACAGAATTAGTGGCTTTTTCTTAGCCACCAGAAATCTATTTTGAAAAGATACATAGTTAATAAAAATATATTGCCAGTATAATAGCAGTAGATATAAAATCTATCATTCTTTGGCTTACCAAACAAATAAGGTATGTGTCATTTTTAATCAAGGCCACAAACTACTTCAGATATTTCAGAATACAAATGCCAAGAGTAATTAGAATAACCAAAACAGTATGAAAAAGAGAATTGCTAGTATTAACTGTGTTAATGTCCAGTTGTTTATGCATATAGCATATATCTATCCTACATTCTTTTTTAAAAAAACATGGAAATGGAAGTATACTCTGATTTATTCTAAATATATGATGAATACTTCTCTTTTCATTTATCTGTTCTTTTTTATGCCTCAATTTTTAAAAAATCTATTTCTAAGCAGTATTACAATTAAACTTCTTTTGTTACATCCATTCACAAGGCAGTGGTGGTCTAGTGGCTGCACTGCCAATTCAAAGGCACATAGTTCATATCTACCAACTGCTCCCTGAGAGTCTTGTCCTGTTCAATTTACTCCCTCTGAAAACCTGCTAGAGTCATGGTACATAACAACAAACATCCATTCATCTGGTTATTGCTTAGTAAAGAGCTCAAATAAGGTCACAAGTGAACTATAATTAAATTTATTCCTCATTCTAAATGATTGGGCTTATAGATATATTTCTTTTTATTTGCTGAGGTAAAAGATATGTGGCTTACTTTGTTTTTGATTACTCAAGATAGAATACCTGCTTTGCCAATCCAGTCTAGAGATGGAAATAGTATATTAACATGTCAATAATAATTTGACGTTTTTTTCATAAGCGGTAAATTTTTAGAGCATTTCGGTAGTTTGCCTTTACACTCATTTAAACTGTCCCGTCTTCTGTAATTTGTAAAATGGGAGTATATCATAAGACTTTTGTCAGTCATATAATTTTGTATTTTCTACTGAAGAAAAAATTACCATTGATTCATATTTTTGTAGTTGTTGTTATGTACTGTGGTGTCAAAATCAACTCATAACTGACCTGTCAAAAGGTTTTTAGAGGCAGAAAATTGTTCCGGGGAAATTGCCCATCTTCTTTCCACAGAGAGGCTGGTGAATTCAAACTGTTTGCCTTGGCTTGGCAATGGAGCTCCTTATCTATATCTTAAGAGTATAAATTTTTATGAAATTATGTTACAGAGCAAATATATTTTAGAGGTATTACAGTAGTTCATATATAGTTTTTTAGTGTTCAGTTCATGGCTAACATTTCAGTGCTTGAGTTACATTACAGGTAGGCAAGATGACATATAAAGTATATGAGGCAGCTTTAGGTACCATAGTCTTTTTTAAAATTCACTGCTTTGAGAATTGATCTAATGGGATAATTTTTTTTCCTTTTTTTTTTTTTTAAGTCTCAGGTGCCCACATCTAAATTAATAGAGAATAACAGCAAGGTTAGCATCTGAAAGATTGTTTTAAAATAAAAACATTATTAGCAGTTGATTGCTGAAAAGAAATTTTGAGTGTTTATTGAGGAAGGTCATTGAGACAGGTCAGCTAGACCTGGACACACAAACCTGCCTATTGAGTGGATGGATGCTACCTGGCTGGAAGATGGAACTGATTTGTGGATCAAGATCTCAGAGGGAAACTTTTCATTGTTAGTTTGCTAATGAAAATGATATTTCTATAGAAGAACTGTTTTACTGTATATTGCTATTAACTGTTAAAAGCTAAATGTTCACCAGTGATTATGGTTTTTTATATGTGAAATATATTTGGTTTGACTGGTTATCTAGTAAACTTTTCTATTAATTTAAGGTAAAAGTTGTAACAGTATATTTTATGTATGAGTGGTTTGCATTTTGTATGTTATTTGTTGATGCCTGTCTTTCTACTTCTTCAGGTTTATGTGCGATTAAGACCATTTTTCAGGGAATTCCTGGAACGAATGTCTCAAATGTATGAGGTAAATATAGTTAAGCTTATTACATATTTATATTTAATTCAATGTAGTGCCCATATTTAGATTGTGTATAATCATTACTTCTTTTCCCCTGAATTTATAGATCATTCTTTTTACTGCTTCTAAGAAGGTGTATGCAGACAAGTTACTGAACATACTAGACCCTAAAAAGCAACTGGTCAGGTAAGTTGAATTAAGAAATAGTGGAAATGTCTGTCACACTGATCTGTGAAAACTATTATGGTTCTATTTCATTTAATGGCCATTATAAGTTGGCTATATATAGAGAGAGATCATTTATTATGTTTGAGTGTAAAAAGAAATAAGATATATTTTAAGTCCCAAAATTCTTAGAGTTCTAATCATGTTACTCTAGACAGATGTTCTTTAAAAGGATACAGAGATCAAATATGTATATTCACTGTGACATCTGTATCCTTCATTTCTTTTGAGGTTGGGAGGGAGACTGGGTGTTTGTAAACTTGTTTGTATGCATGATGTTTTCACTTCCTTCTGTCTCTTGAGGTGATGCATGCTACATCACCTTTTGAAATAGCTGTAGAGAAAGAAAGTTAATTTTAACAAAGGATCAAATCAAGCTTACTTGAATTTTTCAGGAATAAATTTTTTCTCCATGGTGTCTGTAACCTGAATAGTGATTAGAAACTAACGATGCTTTAGTCAGTGAGATTATTCTGATCTAGACTCAGTCCTTGTTTATGCCCTGAACCAAAGGATCAGATGTATTCCTGGTTACACAGGAATACCTTGGATGATATCTTAGAGGCTCAATGTTAGTTTTATTGATTTATGTCAACTGAAACTACTTATTGTTAATGCACCAATCTTGCTGCCTAGAGCTGAGAAAGATCTTAAAGACATCATAGAAGAATCTTAAAAATGTTAAAGCTCTTTAATATGAAATCAACACAAATGTAATAATTTTCATGAATTCTTAACATTACATGTCCTTCATATTAATTTTTACAATATATCTTGACATTATAACATTCAGTGTATATTTGTACATCTTTTTTTTTTATTAATTTCAATGAAAGTTTACAGAGACTTAGGGTTTCCAGTCATTCATTGTTGCACTTTTCTCCCTACTCACCCCTTCTCCCCCCAGTTCACTCTTCTTGAAAAGAAAGAAAACCTTTCATTGTTATGCATTCCCCTACCCCCAAGTCCTCTACACTATGCAGCCCTCATTCTGGACTTCTGTAATGACAGTCATACCCAGTCATAGATCCTTTTAAACAGTTCTCTCCCTTATCTTTTTCAATGCCGCATTGCTCCCCTCCTCAACTCCAGTGTCAGTCCCATTTTACAACAGTAGCGCTATGCAGTATTTGTCCTTTTTTGACTGATATATTTCACTCAGCATAATGTCCTCCAGGGTCATCCATTTTGCATAATATTTCATGAGTTTCTTGTTTTTCAATGCAGCATAGTATTCCATTGTGTGAATATACCAGAGCGTCTCTATCCATCCATTTGTTGATGGGCACTTGTGTTGTTTCCAGCTGTTTGCTATTGCAAACAAAGCCACAGTAAACATGGGTGTGCATATTTTAACTTTATTCAATGATACATTCACTCTGAACATTTCTGTTTAGCACCCCTAATGTTCTCAAAAACACTGGTGAACAACACAATGCCTTTCCCTGTTAGAGCTTTCATTTCATACTATTTTAATGCATCATGATTTATTGCCCCCTTTTTACTCTTTTTTTTAAAATCTAAGTATCTAGGAGCTTTGTATTTGCTTTCTCTAGTTGTAATTTTAAAAAGTAAAAATGAGAAAAATGTTAATAGGTTTGTTAGAGTGCTGTAGGGAATTACAGACTAAGAAACTACCTCATCTGTCCAACTGCAAATTTGTTAGCATGGAGGACCTGTAATAACATGACTAGTAAACTAGTTTTCTAAAACATGGCTACCAGCCCTCAGTCTCCTGAATAACTGAAGGGGATTTTTGTTGTACCATCAAGTTGGGACTGACACATAACTGGCCCGTCAGTGGGTTTTCCAGAGGTAGTAAATCTCACGGGAGGAAATGGTCCATATTTCTCCCATAGACTAGTTAGTAGATCCCCCCAACCCCGATGTCAGTCCTGTTTTACAACAGTGGCCCTGTGCAGTAGTTTATCTTTAGTGACTGAGATACTTCACTCAGCATAATGTCCTCCAGGGTCACCCATTTTGAATAATATTTCATGAGTTCCTTGTTTTTCAATGCAGCGTAGTTCAACTCCTTACTCTTGTGAGTTTACTACTGAGGGAAAACAGGGACATGCATAATTATATTGTACCTGCCTCACCAATTTCCTCATGCTAAATGTTTATAGAAATAAGGAAACTCTGGTGGCCTAGTGTCAGGAAGCTGCACTGCAATCCCAGAGGTACATGGTTCTAATTCACCAGATGCTCTGCTGGAGAAGGAGGGGCAATCTCCTCCTATACCAGTAAGATCCAATTTGATGGTACATATACACACACCAAAAAAAGAAATAAAATAGGGTTATGTTATTTAGGCCTAAACAAAACTTTAGTTCTTTTGTCTACTTTTCTCCCATTCCCTAGAGTAGGACTGTCTTTAAGCCTTCCAAAGGCAAATGATCATCTGACTAATTTAAAATATTTCTTTTTTTTTTTCTTTGATCTTTATTAAAATATTTCTTATAATTAGAACAAGGGAAAAAGAACTGTGCTGAATTTTATATTACATTTTAAAAGTTATATTTTAAATTCTCCTTCTTTGTTACTACTACCAGCATGTTTATGTTAACCAGCATATTATTTTGAAGGTTTCTTATGTTTGTTTCTGGGGGTTCTTTTCTCCTTAGAGTAAACCCATGACAGATTTTTGTGGGTAGAAAATACCTCTTTTCCTTGATCTGTCTTGGTCGGATTAAGACACAAGGGTGCCCAACTACCAGTTATTATTAATACATAGAAAATAAGAATATTTTAAGGTACAAAAAATAAATGACAGTTACTAATGTACAGCTTTAATATTTTGAGTGCTAATGGGACATTATATACTGTATCAGTATTCTATAAATACTACCATAAAACTTTAAAAAATGATAGATTTTTCTGGTTACTATGTAATATTGGTGAGACATCAGCTTAACTTCTTTTTTTTTTTTTTTTTTGGCACATCACCATAACCTTCATGATACTTAAATTTGAACTCATCAGTTCACCTAACTTTTTTTCCAAATGGTCACATACACACTTTACACTAAAAGAAATTAGAGAGTTGGGGAAATGTTAAAATAATGGAATGTTTTGGCCTCAGCACCTTTTTTTCAAAAGTCTTAGAGAAACTAAAAAAACAAACAAACATTCCTTCTTATATTTTCTATTCTGGCATGTAGAGGGATAGGGAGGCTTTGTGGTCTGCTGGTTAGAGCAAAGGCCTGGGAGCCAGGAGGATCCTGGGTTCAAATGCGGGGCTAACCACTGACTTACTATGTGACTTTGGGCAAGTCCCATGACCTCCTTGTGCCTCATTCAACTGGGAAATTGGTTAAAAAGCAGGACCTTGCTGACAACCAGATGCTTCATCTGAGCTTTTCTGGATAAATAAATTACCAAACAAATTTACAGAAGTTTTTCCCTTTTAATAATTTAATATAACATCTTGGCGATAAACCAAAGTTCTTTAGGAGCATGTGTAAGGTTGAAGTAACTACTGAGAATTTCTATAATAAAAATACAGCCCAAAGATTAGGCCTATCTTTGTATTTGTTAACTTTCTGAGAGGGGAAAAAAAAAAAGGCTTACCCTCTAAAGCCTGTGGTGTGTGTATGTTTCCATCTATATTGTAAATTTAATTTAATTTATTTTTATTTTTACATTAAGGCATCGGCTTTTCCGTGAACATTGTGTTTGTGTACAAGGAAACTATATAAAGGACTTAAATATCCTTGGAAGAGATCTTTCAAAAACTATAATAATTGACAACTCACCACAAGCCTTTGCATATCAGGTAGGAAAAGAATTGCTTAACAAACTGAGACTGGAAAAAATAGAAATAATGCTATATAGAATATGATGGAAGAAATGTTTTTTGTGTTTTTGGGGGTTTACTGGTATAATATTAGAATTAAAGACCTGCTTAATTAGAAGTTCCAAATTGATATAAAAAGTTTTACTTGTAAATGAAGAAAACTCTGGATAAGTAACTGAGATAATACTTCCTTTAATATCCTCTTTACAATTATTCAATCAGTAATGTAACTGTAAATATGTTTAATTGTAAGTATCTTAACCTTCTCTTCTTAATAGATTTCCTTCATTCCTTTGTTTTTGGGGAGTTATTTGTCTTGGGTTTTTTCAAATAGAACTAAAGTAGAAAGACGGTATCCTTACTAGATATAGTGTACATTATATAAATAGGTTCATATGATTTAATGTCTGGAATTTGCTTCAAAATTATGTACAGAATGTGGTGGGAAGTGGGTTGGGTTATAGATGAAATAAGATTGACCTTTAATTTCTGTGTTTTAAAATAGCCCTAATAGTACAAAAGGAGGAAAACTATATATTGCTGAAATGTGCTCAGTTTAGTGCCCTTTTTAAAAAAAATAATGTTTTTAGGCTATCATCCTAGATCCTAAATAAAATGTGTTCAAGTAGGTCTTCCATCGCAAACAAGACATTTGGGCCAATCATTACAAAAGAAGATGTTTTCTATAAAATAAATATAGAGTTATATTCTTATTTTTACTCTTTTTAAGTTAAATACCTTTGAGTCAATTTGTTAAGTACCTACTATTTTCAAGGCTGTCATACAATAGCTGTGAAAGTATATCATTTCTAATAGTGCTTTCTGTTTAGATTTACGGTATCCTTTCATTCATAATGCCTAGCATTGGTGTATTAATAGTTAACACTTTCTTGAGTGAATAAAAGAATGTGGTTAGTTAAGTTCATGGTCCTTATAAAGCTTATTTTGCTGTGATTTTCATGTTGGTCTAGTTATATGTACTTAGAAGAAAGTGCTAAAAAACCAGCTAGGCTTTACTCTTACTTCTCTTGTCTCTTGTAGTAGTCAGTTATCAGTGAATATATAGTATCAACTCTGGTGATAACTCCTTTTTCAAAAGAACTTAAAAGTTCTTTTACTTAACCCTTTCAAGACAGAATTATTTTGTGCTTTTAATTTTTTATTTAAACCATATGTTTTCATTGTGATGGAAAGCATTTGTCTTGCGGGGGAGGGATCTCCAGTGCTGAAACAGTGAGATGATGCTAATTTCTTCAGACTCATGCAATTATATATAGCTCCCATAGACAGTCAGCACTAAAAATGGGATAGTAACTTATCATAAACCCCAAGAGTGTAAAATGTGAGAGTCCTGTATGTCTCAAGGGTAATGAATGAAAAGGTTAAATCTGCTATTTCTTTTTAAAATGTTTCCAGTCAAGGCAGAAAAGAAATTTAAAAGATTAATTACTTATCATTTTTTTAGCTTTCTAATGGAATCCCTATAGAAAGCTGGTTTATGGATAAAAATGACAATGAACTTCTAAAATTGATTCCATTTCTGGAGAAGCTTGTAGAACTGGTAAGTATATCATTTAGTTTTTTCTCTGCTCAATCATTATAAAAGAAACTTCCTTTTTAATTATTTCACTTCATTTCTACTGTCATGGGTAGGAGATTTTTTTAAAAGTTGATAAAGATGCATTACTATTTATGCATTATATATAATTAATTTAAAGTTTCATGGGTTGAATGCTTTTACAATGGTTCTTAAAGTCACTAACTAGTTATGTTAGAAACAGCATAAAATTTTGTTTATTTTGCTTTCATAGTCAGGTCTGGAATTGATGCTTATCCTACTAAGACTTTATTCTGGAATTTTTTCTATTGTATAAATTGAAGTCAGTGAATCAGTCTTTTCTATGTCCTTTTCGTTTGATTTTATATTGCTTAATTGTTCTTCTAAAGTGAAAACTTATCTGTAAGGCCAGAATATTTGTAACATTATAAAGATCATATCTTTGAAATTGTATTGCTTTTAAGAACTTTTTCTTCTTCCATACAGAATGAAGATGTCCGACCTCACATCAGAGACAGATTTCGTTTGCATGATTTGCTGCCCCCAGATTAATTCAAAGACTTGTCAGATCACTGAAGGGGGAGAGAATGCAGGACCCTTTTGGACTAAGACAAAAACATTGCCATTACTGTTGAAATTTTGCATTTTTGTACCCCGTCTTGCTTTTCTTATCTTTGGTGCCCAATAATAATCAAGGGATACAGAGAGAGAGAGAGAGACTTTATCTATCTCAGATTGAATACATACAGTAGGTAGGCTAAAACAGAAGAGTCTTTAGAACTAGTGCAACTCCAGTGAAATTTTTTTATGTACAGGACATCTGCAGTTTATAAAGAATTCTGTTTCTGCCACCAGCAGTTTGACCTGTAGTTACACAGGATTTTATGATAATAACAGAGTTGAAAATGGACTTTTATTTTCTCTCTGTTTGGTGCTCTAAGTGGGTTTGTAGCCACTTTTCTGTTACTTTAAGATTCTCATTTCAACAGGAATGGCCAGTAAAAAGTTGTTTTATTTTTCCTGTTAAGGTTTATAACCTTTTTACATTTTGACCTGTATTAGATTAGAATTCCATTATGCATTCCTTTTAGTTGAGGCGCTTCATAGTTTCCTGGAAATAGTCAACTTTTAGTTTTTTTTTGATACATTTGGATGGCCGTTTTCCTGCTTTGTCTGCCTGCATATTGTATATTTGTTTAAAAATATTCTCTACTTTTAGTCCATGTAAGTTTCATTTACAAAGACATACATTTATATTTTGTTTCTGTAATATTCTGCTGTAGGTGAAATCTTTTCAGAAATCAAGAGACTTGGTAGATAAGAATATATGAATGACTAATATTCAGAAGTTTTAAACCATTGTGATAGCATGTATTCCAAATGGTAATATCTTGCAATGGCACACAGATTTAATGGATAAAGGTATACCTCAGACTTCACTGTGCTTATCAATCTTTGAGGAGACTGAGTTTGGTCAACTGTTAGGCTTGATATAGTTACTGCTGCCTTTGGTTTTCTCCAGGAATGAAGTATTCAGCACAGTGACTCAGTATTTTTAGTTACTTTGCATGGGCTGGTAGTACCTCTGTTATGCTTTCAGTTACAATCAATTCAAAACTATGTGTAACAGTTTTGGTACCTAACACTAGCTATGCATAATCCTGTGGCACAGTACACTTCCAAGCCACCAATGCAGTTAATATGCTCTCATAGTGGTTTTCTATACTATATGAAAATAGTCTTCAAGCCTTGGTTCTCTAATGCAGCTACCATAAAGAGGTTGATATTTTTATAGTGGTGTGTAATCTCCTTTTCAGGAGGCTTTTTATGGAAGGTAGAATTTGTAAAAGTTAGTATGCTTTGCCTCTCGACTGCATTAACATGCCACAGGCTCAGACTGTTTTTGTGTAAAGGATGTCAAAGAACGGCACTTTTTCTAAAGAGAAGTTTGATATTTTGTATGCTTGTTAAGAAAGTACAGTATTGGAAATTAAAGGTGGACAACTGATAATTGAGGAGTATGTCAATTAATTTTTTATGTATATTACCTGTTTACTTGTACAACTTTATTGTACAAATTACATGCAGCTTCATTTTCAAATGAGTCCTTAAAATAAGGAAATCTTTTTAGGAAAACATATAATTTTTGTATTTTTGATTTTAAAGGCATGAGTTATGTCAGTTTTCAGTGTATTAATGAAGATTTTAACTTTTCATCAGGTTGAGTGTTTTCTTACTATATTATCTGTTGTGTATGTAGTTAGCATATTGTGTCACTGAACTGTTTAAAAAATTAGCATGTAGAGCAAAAGCCTGTTTTGTGGAAAATCCTTATTCATTAAAAAAGTAATCATGGCAGATTTTCTGCAAAAAAAAAGCATTTTGCAATTCAGAATACTGATTTTTTTATTATTATTATTATTATTTAAAGAAAGGTATTTTGCTTGCAGGAGAAAAATACTACAGATTCGTTTTAATGAGAATCTTTGAAATGTATTTATCTTTAGGGCATCTGGGCATCTTTATGCTGTTTGTCTTCTGTCTTTATTGAAATAAAATGTACATAACGTTACCTTTACATATGCTCTTGCTCAAAATTGTGAACCTAGTTACATTTCTCCCTGTTCATGTCTCATGTTAAAATAAGAAAACCCCAAACTTAACAAAAACTTGAACTTTCAGTATGCATTATAGTTGCTGAAAGTTTCCCTGATAAATAATTTCAAAGGGCTTTCCCATATTAAAAGAGAAATATAAGCACCTATATATACCATTGTGCCTGCGAGCACTTTAATAATATTATGAACACGAACTAAATCTAATAGTAGAGCTCTTTTTCATCCTATGCTGAGAGTTAAAAGTCAGCTGACAAATGATCAAATGTAACCAGCCTCTGTAAAGAAATAAGGCAAATTCCATATGGCCCAATAACATCTGACAACAGTTGAGTAGTTTTTTTTCTTTTCAGTACTTCCATTTGGGTCTTTTTTAATTTGCTATGAATATAAAGTTTTAAATAATGTAAAGAGAGATCATTTCCTTCCACCTTTTAGCTTCCATTACCCCTCCTTCCCTTTATTGGTATGTGTTCTCGTAAACACTTTCCATTTAGCAAAATAAAAGTGTATTTTATTCACTGAGATGTGCCCAGCCCTTCAGCTCATGCAGGAAACATAAACTCGTACAAGATCAACTGTAATAAATGCAGGAGAGATGAATGGCACCAGATGAGACACAGCAGAAATGAACTGTATACATATTACAACAACAAAGTACATATTAAAATTGTGATACTTCCTGTGATAAATGTCTGACTTTTAAGACATCCTTTTAAATATTTGTATCATTGTTAGAGAGGATGTTTTGATCAGTTGTTTTTTTTAATTCCATGTAATATATGTAGCCCTAATCAGATTTATATCAATATTTCTCCTTGGGTCCTAAAAGAAAGTTGATGAAAATTCATAACCATAAATTGTTTTATATTAGTTAGTATATGTATATTTATTTACCTGATGGCTTTATCTGTTTCCCAAAATTTTTTTGGGATTGTTGAAAGCATTGTAACTTCTATAAATGGCTATTTTTCTTGTAACTGTCAGTGAAATGAATATGTACATTGTTTGCTTTTTTATATTTCTCCAAGGTTTTTTGTTTTTGTTTCAGAGTTAAACAGAATGATTTTTTTAAAAAGTTACCTTTGGCCAATGACTTTTTCTGCTAACTATTACTTGCATTCAGTCTTCTACAGAAATTCATTTTTCATTGTTTTGTTCATTCAACTTGCCTGATAACAGAGAGACTTCATCTCATCAGTGAAGAAAACATTTCATTATTCCTACAGATCTTTCCAGCGAGCACAGAATTCTTCATAAGGATCAGATCTCTTCCATGTCTGTGTCAATCATAAAAAGCTGAAATATAAAGGACACTGAAGCCTTCATTAATTGTACTAATATGATGGTGTTATATACTACATCATTAGCTAGTTAGTTTCCCGACCTGAACTTCTGTGTGTCTTCCTAGGTATTTATTTGTTAGTTATCTCCTTTAATCTTATGTATCTAAATTAACTTAGTTAATAGTTACCCACCGAATAACTATGCCAATCAACTAGGAAAGAATGTTTATTTTATTTCCCCTTATAGGGGAAGAGTGGACTGGGAACAAAAATGTATGGGCCAAAAGGCCTTAGGTTGTCATTCATTTACTTTCTATTCCCTTCATGAGCTATATTTGAGTATAGTGTGTTTTCAGTGCTGAGATGCTTGATGATGTCATTAATTTTCATGTCTTCCCCTGAGTTGAAAACCTGCTAGGAATCTGTATGAAGTACATTCTCAAAATTCAGAACAAAAACCACAAAACCCATTCTCTTATATTTAAATGCTACTTAAATTATTATTATTGGAATCCAAATATCACTGATTAGGATACATTTTTATAAAATGTTTCTCTGTATCTTGAATTGAAATTACTTGCCCAGAGGCAAGAGTTCTGGGGGTTTAACATGTTTTGGACCTTTTTAAAGAAGGGGATAAGAGCAACAAGTTTATACTAGTTTAGGTATATTATTTTAATATTAGTATTTTTCATCTGTAGTTCCCAACCTTGACTGTTTGTTAGAATTACTCTGAGGCTTGCCTCATGGAAAACTTACACTGAGTAAAGAGTGAGGCCTGAGAGTTCAGGTGATTCTGAGAACCAGATCTGGGAAATCACTGTTTAAAATATGTGACAGTGGTCTGAGAGTAGGTAACAAAATAAACGTTTACCAGACATCTCTTTGTGGTAATTTGTTTTCTTTTTAAAAAAAATTTGATCAGTTCACAGAACCTATTCAAGATACATGGAGGAATTACAAGATGTAGGCTACTGCTCACTATCCCTTTTTGTCTTGCATATTTTTTAAGACTTTGCATTTCTAGCATTTGGAATAGCTGATCATATCCACAGCTGAAGGACATGTCCCTGAATGAAACCAGTATATATATATATATATGTGTGTGTGTGTGTGTGTTTATGTATAAACTGTAAAATATTTCACTATTTTTTTATTTTATAAATCTTTGTAGAAATAAGCAATGAAATAATACTTTCATCTTTTGAAATGGGGTTTTTTCAAGGCAGTGTCCTTTTGGCATTAAGGCAGAGGGGAGTTAATATTCTCTCTGCCTATTTCCATATAAATCAATATAAAGTCATGGACATTTAAAAATCTCAATTTCTACTTATTTACTATGCAGTATAGCCGTGAACAAGTTATGTAGATTTAGGTTTCTCATCTTTAAATGCCCTGATCACCCTACCTCACAGGGTTGTTGTGGGGAATAAATAAAACTTTTATGGAAGCACTTTTCTTTGATGATATTTTATCAGCCACTGGAAATAATGTAACTTCTAACAACTTATTTAGGTTTTTTTTTAAAAAAAAGTACATATTTCCTGCACACACACACAATTTTTCCTTGAGAGGTTGATCTTCAGGAAAAACCTGTAACAGGGTAGGTATAGACATGGGACATCATAAGTAATGAACTCTGAGGAAGCTCAGATAGTCATTGCAACATACTTCCTAATGCTTAGCATTCTTTTATAGTTACGCCTGTACATAGGGACCTTTCCAAAGTACTGAAAAGCAGTGGTGTCACTCTGGAGATGAAGGTGCGCCTGATATACAGGCCATGGTCTTTGCAATCACCTGCTATTCATCAGAGAGCTGGACAATGACTAGGGAGGATAGTAGAATTGATGCCTTTGAACTGTGGTGCTTGAGAAGAGTATTGAATATACTATAGACTGCTGAGAAAATGAACAGGTTCAACCTGGAGACGGTTAAACTGGGCTGCTCCTTGGAGGCAAAGATTCTAAAGCAGCTTCTTAAGTCATTTACTTAAGGGATAGGGAGAAGCAGTGATTAAAAACCATGTGGAAAGGAGCTGCACTGCAATCCCAGAAGTACACAGTTGAATCCACTGGATGCTCTGCTGGAGAAGGAGGGTCACTCTCCTGTACCTGTCAGATCCAATTTGATGGTACATACACACACAAATAATAAATATTTTAAAATGGGAAAAAACCCAAACGTGGAGAATGGTTCTACTCTTAGGTCACCATGAATGGGAGATGACTTGGTGGTAGTAAACACTTGCTAGGTACCATCGAGTCTGCTATGACTCAGCAAACCTTTGGTGGACAGTGGATCTGAACTTTGCCCTATCCTGTGCCATCCTTATCTCTGATAGGCTTCAGAGGTTACAGTCCTGAGGCAAAGACTGACCCATCATAACATGTCCAAAGTGTGTGAAACGAAGTTTCACCATCCTTTAAAGAGCACTTTCTCCAAGACAGACTTGCTTGTTATTTTGGCAGTCCATTGGATATTTTCCAGTACCACAATTCAAAGGCATTGATTCTTTGGACTTTTCATTTTCTGGCTTTTAGGTGCATAGGAAGCAATTGAAAATACCAAAGGTAAGTCAGGTTCTCAGTGTATTGGCTTTACATCCAGGTTTGGTGACTAGGAATAGCAGTGACTCCATGGCAATTAACAATATCTAACTTTTCACACAAAGTATTCTTCCTGAGGGAAATGGCTTAAGCATTATGGAGCTTGGTGGCTTAGTCTAGGAAGTTGCACAGCTAACCCAAAAGCCGCACCTCTGGTGGTTTAAATCCACCAGTGTCTACAAGGGAGAAAGATGAGCAGTCATTTCTTGTACTGGAAAGCTCTGGAAACCTGCTTGAATGTCAGCTATGAGTCAGTTCAAAGTGGTAGGGAACTTGTGGTTTTAGATGCACTGGTTATTAGCATCACAAAGGACAATATGAAGTTAGGAGACTGGCTAAATTCTGGAGTGTGGCTCTTAGTTTACAGAAAATACAGATCAGTGTGAATTTGGTGCACTCTGAAATGTTTCCATTGATCAGACAAAACTGGGACAGTGTGCTAGGATTTTATAGCACTATAAAACATGCTAAGTGTGGAAAAATATGTAGGAACTGAATGGA